TACCATCCTCTCTTGGAGTGCCAGAGTCCACACCCCCCTGCCCCGGGATCGCGTACAAGCTATGGCTACCGTAGGCCACACTAGCGTCGCTGGGGGTTCCCTGCCCTAGATGGGAAGCTGGCCGCTGATCCGAAGACCGACTGCACCAGGGCGCCTAGATATACTCGAGGTGAGCGAGGGTGAAGTTACGCCTTAAATGCCTGCCTCTCTACTGTGGACCTTACTCCGTGCTCGTTGGCTCCTCCTATTCCCCCACCCCCCCTCCCCCCCCACTCTCTCCGAGCAAGGGCGTGCGCTACGTCCCCAAGGGGGGGGGGACGTGGGGGGGAGGTGTGACGCTTGGGTTGTGGCGTTTGGGTTGTTGTGGGGCACCCAAACGGTTTCGGTTTTCCTCCTTGGTGCCCCGAGTAGAGCGCGATCTCCCCTGGAGTCTGTCGCGCCCGTTCTGTCTAAGCTCGAGGTTCAACCTTCCAGTTGATCCTTATCGGACTGGTGAGGTCTGCCTAGCCGTCGTAGTGTAGTGCCTGGGGTGCGTCTGCGTCGGTGCTACACACACTCGGCAGGACGCTGCTCTAGGTCGTTGCTGCTGGTCGTCGCTGTTTGTCAAGGTGATAAATCGTTTCTCTTTTGTTTCAACAAAATGACTCTCACAGTGACTTCTTTGTGTGGCCAAAAACATGTCCGAGATAAACCCGAACCCGGGCCTTTAGATCGGGGTCGAAGGTGCTACACACACTTGCCCCCTGGTGGTCTGGCACTCGGCGTTATTCCTACTGGAGTTAGTTTTCTGAATCTCGGGGGGGGAGGGGGGAAGTGGGTTCCGGTGTTTTTTCTTTGCACTATGCACATGCGTAAAATTTGCGCGTAGTGCAAAGTGCAAAGTGCAAAGTCCAAAGACCAAAGTGCAAGTCGCCCTCGTGTTTTTCTTTTTATGCTTTGGCAGTAAAAAGAACTGTGTGCGGCAGGCGCAGGCTCGGCCGATATCCAATACTTCGACTCACATCTTCGCTGCGGTGTGCCCGGGGAGGCGCGGCGGCGGGGTGGATTGAGAAGGCTCAGAGTGCAGAGAGACTGCAGGCGTGCAGAGGCGCGCGCTGCAGTTTCTCTGATCGGGCTGCTGGCGGTGTGAGCGCGGGGTGGCGTGGTGAGGCGTGAGGCAGGCTATTGTTGTGGAGTGCGGGCTGCATCGTCAGGCGTATGCGTGCACATGGTGCTGTATGCTGTGTGTGCAGGCTGGCAGTCTGTGCAGCAGAGAGCGGAAGCGCGCGCGCGCGGGCGCGCGCGTGCGGGCGTGCGTGCGCGCCTGCGCGGTGCCGGATCTGCGTCTCACTCGCGGCGCGTCCTGGTACAGCCGCTTATGAGATGCCAGAAGCAGTCTGCAGAGCCTGCACAGGGCGCAAAAAGGCGCAGGTGTGCTGGTGAGGTGTGCTGCGGCGCGCGCGTCGCGGCGTAAGTGGATATGCGGCTGCCTCTGGTGGTGCGAGGGGCGCGCAGCTGGTGCGGGCGGCGCGGGACGGCCATGGGGCGCCAGCACAGGGCAGACGCACATGGGCACAGCTCTGAAAGGCGCTGCGCGTGTTTGCGTGCGCGCGGGGACGTACGCGCAGTTTTCACGCGGTGTGCCTGGAGAAGGGCATGAGAGGCGCCGGCCGCGCGTGTATTGGCGTGTGGGAGTTCGGAGTATGCCCGGAGGGCGTGATGGTGCCCGAAGGGCGGTCCTCCATGCGGAGGTGAACCTTTTCAAAAAAGAAAAGGTACGCGAACGCGTAGTACTCTGCTACCCCTCGAGGCTGTACACACAGTGGGGGGGGAGGGTGCGCACAGGCCACAGCCATGCATACCAGATACGGCTCTTTACCACCGGGGGAAAATGCATTCGAAAAATGCAATAATGCATAGCGGCTTGCACACCGGCGTAGAGCCGGCCGCCATCTTCATTATTAGGCGCCATCGAACCGGAAGTAGGTCGTGCCCTTGACAGACAGAGCTCAAGCCACCTCACTATACCCCGGCCGCGTGCACTCACTGTAAGGTGGACTCGTATCGCTTGGAGCCAGAGCAGCTACCTAGCCTCTCCCGAGTACACGGCACGAGCACGTTCCTGGAATGTTCCTGTAACAATTTTCCTTTTTGTGTTTTCGTTTTGTATTAGCAGCAGAACCGATTTTAACTTCTCACACACGCGCGCCGCCGGGGCTCGTGCCTCAAATAGGGAGCCGAATATGAACACGCTCGCACCAACCGTCGTTGAGCCGCTGCTGCGGCCGCCGCCTCCGACCTCGCCACCACCTCCTCCTCCCTCGCACACATCCCTGCAGGGCCATTACGTCACCGAGCGCGTGAAGAACGCGGTTGATGGCTGTGTGAACGTTTTCGTTGACGCCGGTGCCAGCATAGGTGTTCACACGCGATTCCTCTTTGAGCCGGCATTTTACAACGACTCCAAGTTTGTTGCCGTCTTCGATCGCGTCTTTGGTGTCGACAGAAACCTCACTTGCTCGCTCGGCTTTGAGCCCAATCCGATACACAAGGCGCGCCACGAAAAGATGCAGCGCGTGTATGCTCGGATGGGCTGGAGGTACACGTTCTTCCCCATGGCGCTGGGAACGGCGTCGGAGGAGCTGGTCTTCCACGAGAATGGAGATTTCGAAGACAACGGCAAAGACAATGAATACTGGGGCTTCGGCGTGACGAACTTCAACGAAGCCTTCCGGGGGGCGAGCAACCGCACGGGGCAGAACCCGACGGTGCGCGTGCCGTCGGTCTCCTTTGACGAGATTCTTTCTCAGATCTCCC